AAGCGTTTCAATGAGATGGCTGCAGAACTGAAATGATTATCAATGTGTTGTCCTGCATTTTACAGGCAAGATGAATTTGGATGAGTACTTAAAAAGAATTGGCTTCCATGGCTCCTATGATAAACTGGATCTTGCAACACTGAAGCTGATCCACAGGCAGCATGTTATGTCCATTCCATTTGAGAACCTCAGCATCCACTGTGGAGAGAAGATTACCATGGACCTTGAGGTCATCTTTAACAAGATGGTGAGGAGCAGCCGTGGAGGTTGGTGCCTTGAGAACAACTCCCTGTTTGGCTGGGTACTGAGACAAATGGGCTATGACACTACAACCTTGGGCTCCAGAGTTTTTAGCCCTACTGGTGGTGAATATCACTCTGAGGAAACACACCTCATTAACAAGGTCATCATTGATGGGAAGGCTTATATAGCAGATGTAAGTTTTGGGGTGTCACTCCAACTCTGGGAGCCTCTGGAGCTCATCTCTGGAAAGGAGCAGTCTCAGGCGGCGGGTGTCTTTCGCCTCATAGACAAGGGGGACATGTGGATGCTGGAGAAAACTGGCAGGAAACCAGAGGTTCCTAATCCAGAATTTGCTAAATCAAGTCTGTTAGACAAGAAGCAAACACAGGTGATTTACTCCTTCACCTTGGAGCCTCGTGAGCCATATCATTTCTCTCAGGTAAACCATGACCTCCAGTCAGACCCCACCTCACTGTTCATCAATAAGTCCATCTGCTCTTTGCAGACACCCACAGGATTCAGAGCACTGGTTGGCTGGACCTACAGTGAGGTCACCTTCAAACCAGAGGAAGGTGTTGATGTGTATGACATGAGAAATGTAACAGATGATGCGCTAGAAGAAATTCTGAGGGAAAAGTTCAATGTGAAGCTGCAGAACAAACTGAAGGCTGTAAACAAAAAAGCATGCTACACACTTTAGAGAATTAACCAGCAGACGTCCTGCTTTGAAAAAGCTTTAAAACAGTAATCAGAATTAAAATCAGAATACTTTATTAATCCCTAAGGAAAATTCTGCAAATCAAGCTTTGCAAAATTTCTGTTTTTGAAAAGTTATAAGTCACATTGAATGTCACGTTTCATATGATGCATTTCTATGACTGAAAGAAGTAAGGTCACTTTTTCAATGTGTTGTTTCATTTTATTCACACACACTTTTGCAGGTCCAGAGTTGTAAATATTTTAGTGACCACATAAGGAGATCAGTACCAAAATTAACTTTTTCTTTGCATTTCTCAAATACAACTATGAAATTGTATATATTTAATTAAACAAATACAACAAATCATGTTCTGTCACTTGAAAGAAACATTTCTACCTCAGTTGTTCGACTTGGAAAGAGGTAAGTGGTACGATAACGACACCTTGTGGTATAATAGACATGGTGCAGTGTTTAACTGCGTGAAAATTTGTCTAATAACACTAATTTATTCATATCAGTGACCAAAACCGCAAGTCTCGTCCGTGGATAAGCAGATGCAGCTCTAATTACCTCTGCTTGTCGACACACAAACCTATATTTTATTTTGTTCTCATAAATGTGGTCGAATTGAATCTCACGTGTTTATAAGAAGTAGCTGGTTGTGGTACTTAAAACGTGAATGAAGTTAGGAGACTCATGGCTTCACGCCTGAAATAACTATTAAATATGCCAAAGTGACGTCATTATTTTGCGACAATAAATGACCTGTCAGAGACCCGAAAACAGAACAACGTAACAAGTTGAAATTAAAACGTTGAAATTACAAATTTTAATTCCCAACTCTTACACTTTAAAATCGAGACCTTTAGTGGAGCCTGGGAGAAAACAGCTGTTCATACCAGTTACATGATCTCAAAAGGATTCACACACTCCAAACCAGGATAAGCCAATAACACTGCACACAGTGAAATCATTCATAAAACCCACACATAGAGGTGTTTGCTTTTACGATTAAGATTCTCCCAACGAGACCCACCTAATTTCTCTCCTGCCCCCAAATAATAAAATTAAAAATACTACAAACCATATTATGATGATTAATTATCATAAAAGCCTATGCATCCTTGTATTTTCTCTGTCTCCCCTGCCTGGCGCGTGGTTGTACAATTAAAAGGCTTAAACCACGAAACCTTCAGCTCATTCTCATACACAGAATAAATCAATAACAGCACCTGATATCAATTAATGTTGAGTCAATGATAATGAGTTCCCAATCATTTTATAGTATTTACAAAAATATGTTACTGCAGTCAAAACCAATTTAAAAAAAATAATAAATCTATATGCAAAGAAACGAAAGTCCAGTTTTAGATTTGAAATACAAATTTGAATAACATGTGGAATTTTGCCATAACCAATAATGCATGAGGTGGATTGTAGTGTTGCAGTCTTTGCACCTGATTTGGTACAACTCTTATTTAATCTGGAGGCGTGTGAGAGGAAAAGTGTTTATATAAATATAATTGAATTTCGTAAAGAGTTGGTTAGTAGCGCCTCTAGTGGTGATACCTGGGGTTTTATAAGTGCAGCTGAGCGTTGACAGTCACGCACCGTTTGACTATTAGCTACCGACAGCACGCAGCTGCAGGGCACAACCCAGCCCACAGGTAAGTTGGACTAATTAAAGCAGTGACACAACACATGAAGCTATTGTGCTTAAAATAAAAACTAATAGTGACCACTGATAATATATTTTCCACACTGTTTCTGTACTTTGGTAATAGATGTAAATAGTCAAGCTAGGAGATATTTTTCAGATTGTTCTTGAGCAAAAACTTTACCGTGAACAAGACTTTTTGCTCCTTTTAGTCAGGGGCCAGCGCCATTTTGACGGCGGGAAAAACAAGGCCAAGTAATTACTCCTAATGGTCTTACCTTGAAACGGAGTTATTGCAAGTAACCTTCCCTCCAAATACTCCTGCGCAAAATGTCACAGCTAAGGTTTAGGATTTGCGCTAATGTGACTGCATTTATGAAAGAGACCTGGGTTTCCAACACACCAGTGTTGGCCGTGTTCTACCGGAGGTCCACCACACAGCCAAGTGTTCAAATTCAACTGCCATCAAAAAAAGAAGAAACTGTCATCCCTGTGTCAAACTCGGAGACATGGCGCCATGATGCTGTCTGCAGTTACTCAAAAGACTTGACAGAAACTAAGAGGATGGCTTTCAGGGTCCTTTTATTTTATCTTTATTTATTTATTTTTTCCACCAAAGACAAAACAGTGTAGGAGAACCTACAGACCCGTTAAGGACTTTTATGTCTTATAGGAAGCTTTTACCAGTTGTCCTCTTATTTATTCAAACAGGTATTTGCTGAGAGTGTTATCTTCGTTTTAGCTTATAGGTGCTGTGTGTGTGTTTAAAAAAGAAAAAGCTTTAAATATGTTGAAAGCCAACATTTGACGTGGACCCCCTTCATTCTTTAACACAGCTTGAACTCTTAGGCAAGCTTTCTTATAATTGAGCCTTCAGGAATAGTTTTCCCAGGCTTTCTGAAGAAGATTCAAAGCTTCAGGGCTCCAATCCATGACTGGTGGTGCCCAATTGTGAAGTGGTGTGTGGTTTTTTTTGTTTTGTTTTATTTTGTCCCCCCTCTCTCTATCCAGGTATGCCTTGACTACAATGCTAGGGTGTTTGGGATCATTATCATGCTGAAAAAAAGGAAACATTTGCCAATCAGGCTTCCAGATGATATTGTGTTGTGGATCAAACTCTGATGGTACCAGTTTTGGCAAGGTCCCCAACACTGATTTAAATGCAGCCCAAAATCATGTGTGTCCACTGGGTTTTACAGATGGCTGCAGATGCTCACTATACCTCTCCCTTGAGCTGGATAAGCCTAGCTCATTAGAAGGAATAAAGAGGATATGGTTTGTTTTGTGGGAAAAGGCTTTCATCACTCATTGGAGCAGAAACTCTGAGCCACATTCATGAAAGCTTATTTGTTTTGTGTATTGCTTCTGTCAGCTAAGCAATTGGGATGCGCCACCCCTATCACCATCATGATCGATGCATATTATTGAATGAGACTGGCTATATACATTCCTTTTGTAGTATAAAGTAGCTCACTTACCTTTATCCTGTTTTTGCTTCCAGACTCATCAAAACACATCCTTGATCAAACGCCAATCAAATAAGGTAAGGATAAAAAATTTCAGATTAATTTAGTTATAGTCAACATTTGTCATTAGAATGATATTTAATGATATTTAAACATGTTTGCGCGAAATGTTCAGATCATTTTAATTGTATTCAACATTTCCGGGGGAGCACAGCCCAAAGACTAGTATTGGTAAGCAGCTGTTGAAAGGGTTAAATGAGGGGTAGGATAACCTGCCCTATTAAAACACTAATGCTTCCACCATCTTGCATTTCCATTGTCTTTACATGAACAGAAAACTGGAATGAAATTTAATTGTTATAAATTTAATGAGATACTCTTACATGAAATGTTAATTAAGATTAGGCGTCTTGAATTGAATCATTGATTCTTAGATTGTAAGGAAGCAAAGAGCCTGCCAGGCTAGACCTAGAGTTGGACATCTGGCTGCATCCTATAAATTGACAGGATGTGACACAAAATGAAAGGTGTTGGGGTTTTCTTTTTTTTTAAAAAGCTTTGTAAGTGACATGCTGCAGACCTAAAATGATTATCAATGTGTTGTCCTGCATTTTACAGGCAAGATGAATTTGGATGAGTACTTAAAAAGAATTGGCTTCCATGGCTCCTATGATAAACTGGATCTTGCAACACTGAAGCTGATCCACAGGCAGCACATTATGTCCATTCCATTTGAGAACCTCAGCATCCACTGTGGAGAGAAAATAATCATGGACCTTGAGGTTATCTTCAATAAGGTTGTGAGGGGTACCCGTGGAGGTTGGTGCTTTGAGAACAACTACCTGTTTAGCTGGGTGCTGAGACAAATGGGCTATGACACTACAACCTTGGGCTCCAGAGTTTTCGACACAAGCATTAATGACTTTGAATCCCAGGAAGTACATCTCATTAACAAGGTCATCATTGAGGGGAAGGCTTATATAGCAGATGTAAGTTTTGGATTATCTGGCCAAATACGGGAGCCCCTCGAGCTCATCTCTGGAAAGGAACAGCCTCAGGATGGAGGCGTCTTTCGCTTCATATGCAAGGACAATTTGTGGATGCTGGAGAAGACTGGCAGAAGAACGGAGGTTCCTAACCCAGAATTTGCTAAATCAAGTCTGGTCAACCGGAAGGAGACGCGACTGATCCACTGCTTCAGCTTGGAGCCTCGTGAGCCAGATCATTTCTTTCAAGTGAACAATGACCTCCAGACAGACCCCACCTCACTGTTCACCAACAAGTCCATCTGCTCTTTGCAGACGCCCACAGGATTCACAGCGCTGGTTGGCTTGATCTACAGTGAGGTCATATTTAAGCCAGATGAAGGTGTTGATCTCTATAACATGAAAAACATAACAGAAGATGAACTAGAGGCTGTGCTGATGGAGAAGTTCAAAGTGAAGCTGCAGAACAAAATGCAGGCTGTAAACAGAAGAGTAGTCCTTGAATTTTAGAAAATTACTCCTCATACATCCTGCTTGGGAACACTGGCATGAATGAAGCTCCCTGGCTTTCTGTTTATTTGAAAGATTATCAGTGGTGTTGAATGTGTTTTGTATGACTATAAATGATACACTTGCATGGAAATAAAAATAAAAAATAAAAATAAAAAAGTCAAGGCATCATTTCAGTCTGGTTTTGTTTTTTCCTTCTATCTTCCCCTCCATACAGTTCTGCAAGTTCAGAGATGGAAGAAAACATATCGGTGAATTGTCTAGTATTTGATTATTATTTTATTTTTGTTTTTAAGGCTTTTAGAACGGTAAAACGTATAAACAGATCAAGGTCAAGATGAACATATTTTCATTTTCCAAATATCACTCAATTGATTTCTAGTCTTAACTAAATAAAATCAATTCAAGTCTGCATTGTCCCTCTGACAGAAAGGTGACCAGTCCAAGGTGTACCCCTGCTTCTCCCATTGTGATGGCTAGAATAGGATTCCAGAACAATGCCATCTCTGTGATCCTGAACTATGTGCGGGTGGATGGATTCAAACAATCATTGGACTATCTCAAATCTGTCTGCTCAAAGATTTCAAACTATTAGATGCTTGCATTTTCTTCCATATAGTTTTTATGTAATCATATCAAACTACTTTCCATTCGTAAGAGCGCTTTCTGGAACATAGAAACCAGGTTTTCTTGACTGTTACATAAGCGAAACCTGCCATCCATGCAGTTTGCCTGCAGCAGGCGGGACTTCAACGTTGGCACCGCCCCTTATTTGGGTCACATCCAATCATATTAGCTGCGCACACACTCGATCAGGATTGGTCAACAGGCCTGTCCTACAGCTGAGGGGAAGGGTGTTGTAGCTGCTTCTCAGACCATAGACAGTGGTTCAGACATGAACTCCTTGGAACAGGCCGAAGGTAATCAACAGTAAAAGCGACTCAAATTAATCAAATGTGAAGTTTCAGCGGGTATAGTCGTTGCAGCCAAAGCCACGGAATGTTTACTGAGCAAACGTCTTAAGATGGGTTGTGAAATTTTGGCGTAATAATGCGTTAGCCGGCTAGTTTTCTTAGCATGCTCGTTAGCCTAACTGACAAAACATTCAGCCACTGATACCCTTCATTATTTACACGCAAACACATGTTTAATTGTTAAATCCCCCCGCTTTTGTAACTGGGATCGTAGAGTCATAGCCAGCAACTTTTTTTTTATTTTTACATATGTAGGAATATGATCAGCTTGGAAGTGAAAGTGTAGCAAACCTACAGGGCATTTAAGAGCTTCATTTTAAGTAATGGTGGGTTTCTGTCTTCAGTTTACAACTTTGAGTGATGACACCAACTGAGCTATAGGGCTAAGGCTGGCTTTATTTTAAGATTAAATTTCATGACATTCTTTTGGGGAAGAGACTAAAAAAAGCTTTTCTGGGGATACCTGCGTAATCCTTGGTCCAAACACAGCGTCTGCTCATGGTCCTGTTGTTTTGTTGCAGACCTGAAGGCCTTTGAGAGAAGACTGACAGAGTATGTCTCCTGTTTGCAACCTGCCACAGGCAGGTGGAGAAGTAAGTAACAACAGCAGAGGAGTTACAATGGTTGACATCTTTTTGATATTGCAATTAACCTGAAAGAAGTTCATGTTGATCTCAAACTGCAACTATTAGCTAAAGCTCTACGGTGAGTTGATTTAATATCTTGTTCTTGTGTTTTCTTTCAGTGATATTGATAGTGGTGTCTGTCTGTACAGCTACTGGAGCTTGGAACTGGTTAATAGACCCAGACACACAGAAAGTAAGTATTTGTCGAGAAAGTCTGACTCGAAGAGAAATCAGAGGTATATATATATCCCTTGTATTGAACAGTATGGCCAACAGGGATAAGTGGTATCATTAGGTAACTTTTGATCCAATAAAAGCAGCCTCATGCATTAATAGATAATTGTTCATGTATTAGTACAGTTTAGGTGAGTTCTAATCAAGGTATAGTGTCTGCACATGTGTTTTAACTATAACTGACCACATTGTCAAATTTTAGGCTAGTCTTATAAGAAGTTTTTCTGTCCCTTAAGCCTCTTTTCTATCTCTGCCTGTCTGAATATCTCCATCAGCTGTGGTATATCTCGAACGTTTAGCTTGTCTCCCTGGATGTGTTCATGGTTTGAGGTCTCCATCTTTCTGAAAAATTTTCATTCCTCATTCTATAGAAGAGCAGCCAAATTTGAAGATGGTTTCCAGATTTTTGTATTTATTTATATCTTACAGTGTCTTTGACAGGATTAATGAAGTCATTCAAAATTTTACCTTCATTCTTTTCTAAATCTCCAAGTTAAAGGTCCTTGAAGTGCATATGGGCATGCTGAAATCTTGTCTTTCTTCATTTGTCTTTCATGCATTTCTGAGCCTCCATAACTTCATAAGTAAAGCCAGTGGCAACATAAAAATTTCAAAATTGAAAGTTACATTTAAAAAGAAATACATTTTTCATCCACCCAGAAGTGTCACTTTTAATTAATAATAATTTGGTATTAATTAATTAATTAATTTCTATGTCATAAAATAGCAGACACAAGCACTGGTGCTAGATGTTGTCATCACATCCTAAAAAAAACATCTGTAAAAGTAAATATTTTCTCACCCGGATTGATGTTGCTTTGTTTCCTTTTGTCATGCAGGTATCTTTCTTTTCATCCCTATGGAATCATCCCTTCTTCACCATCAGCTGCATCACTCTAATAGCTCTTTTCTTCGCTGGAATACACAAACGAGTTGTGGCGCCGTCAATGTATCCTTGTTTTTTTCTACTTCAGTAAATACAAATTAGCGACTCATGTACATGGATCAGGTATCTGTGACAGTTGCCCATCAATTTAATTCGGTTAAGTTCCTATGTTTACTGTACCACACACATCTGCAGTAGTGTACTGGTGGCTACTGTGGAGAAAATTAAACTGACTTCTTACAGTTTACATCTAGCCTGATGTTGCCTTGCAGATAAAATAATTCCCAGGCTGTGGTTTTTCCTAATCTCTTCATCTTGACCTTTGTGATAAGATCATGGGTCCTCAGAAAATCTGATTATACTCATATCAGGCAGTTGAACAGTGTCATGGTGGATGCTGTCGACATGGGTCTGCCATGGTGAAACTAAGATGGACAACAAAAGCTTGTCTTAGATACTTTTGTATCTTATGTTTTGTGCAGGACATATAAAAAGAGAACGTCTGGATGGAAAAATCTTACTTTTAGTTTTAAATAAGTATCTTATTAAATGAAATAACTTGAAATGTTTGCCACATTGGCCATCCTGTCAACTCATATTTTCTCTTCCCATTGGAAAGATGATTCAGTCTAGTTCCTGCCTTAGTTCTGCCCATAGTCTATATTTATAAAGCTTTCTTTCCTACTATAAGTAAACAGGCCTCAAACAAGACAACAGCTTGATAAGAAGCAGTGTAGTGGTCAGAGTCCACATGTGGGTTTAACAGCCTGTTGTTGAAGGCTCAAAACCATATCAGGAGATTATGTCATGGAATAGAAAATGCACTGTTAATCAGGATTTGCACTGCACTTGTCAGCTATGTTAATTACTTTATTTGATGTGAATGGACTTTGGTTTCATAAAGGGTGGTTTGGTGTACATTTTGTTGTAGGAGGTTATTAAAGCACTGAAGCATCTTTCTTTAGTATTTAGAGAATTTGACCAGCTCTTTTGGGTTCCATGCAGATACCTCTAGGTCACTTCATTCACCTTCCTAAACAGCCTGTTTGACTGGAATCCCATCGTCTTTGTCTCAGTAAAGAATTTAGTTTATTGATTTCTCAATAGTTTCCGTTTTTGTACATGGTATCAGCAGATGTCCAAAGCTGATTTTTGTCAAGTTGAGGAACATCACATAGTGGATTTATTCCTATTTCCATTCCTGGTTATTGTCTTTAACCGTTACCCCTGCAGTATTGCTGCTCGCTGCCGCACAGTTTTAGCAGAATACAACATGTCCTGTGATGATGTGAGTCAACATGGTGATTTTTATTTTTTTTACCATTTTACTAAAATTTAAGGTTTTATTTTATTTTTAATTTTTTCTTGTCTTTTCGCAGACGGGGAAACTTATTCTGAAACCACGACCAAACATCCAGTGACCACACGCTCCTGGGTTCTGTCAGGCCTCATCTTTGTTGATTGCCTTCTTGTCTTTAATTCCTTTGGATGCTCTTAGATGAAGTATGATGGGAAATGCATTTTCAGCAAAGAAATGAACTGAGAGGCCCTTCTTTTTTTTTCTTTTTTAACAGTGTTGCTGTGTTGTCATCATTGAAGCTGCTGATTTACTCATGTAACCTTTGACATATTTTACACATTCAGAGTGAGGGTATATTTCTGTTTCTGTTCAGCATGTATTTTATCTAAAATGTTTCTATTTTAAAGGTTATTTGCCTAATAAATAAATTCATAAGACGTGGGAATATCAGGGCTGTCTCTTTATTTCTTGTTGCCTTCTATTCTTCCCATGGAGCTTGTCACATGCGTAGCTTGTGCGCTTTTGCGACAGCGTCGTGCTTTCTCTTAGCAACCAACACTTTACGGCAGGGAACAGTCTTCCACATGGCCTTCAACAAGGCAGAAGCCGGAGCGTGTGTTTGATCCGCAACAAACTCAGTGTCAGAGAAAAGAAGAGGGGAGTAAACGCCGCGTTATACGCGCAACTCGCACTTTAATAATCACGTGAAATGGGTAAAAGTAAAACCACTAAGTTTAAACGTCCGCAGTTCAACTCGGTCGGGCTGCCGGTGACTGTGGTGAAGGAAGGAGACTGTGAGGAGGAAGAGCATGGTGATGATAGCTGTCCAGCTGCGGAGTTGCTTGAGAAAGTAGGAATATACACTGCTTCTTCTTACACGAATGTCTCTAACTTTGAGTTTAAGAGCTCCTATTTTTGCAGTTTCTAACATTTTGAATAGCTGGTGTCACGTGCTTTTAAACACGTTTCCTATAGTTGCAGAGTCCCAGCGCTGATGTGCGAGAGTTTGCATGTGCCAGTATTTCTCGGGTGGTGCAGCAGAGTCAGACCATTCCGGGTTTCCTCCAGAGGGATGCTGTTAGGCGCCTGGGTCCCATGTTGCTGGACCGGAGCCTGGCTGTCAGAGAGACTG